GGACTTGAAAGGAGGAGCAACACCATAATAATCAAGGTAAGTATATTTTCATTCTACACAAGAAAATGATTTCACTGTCTGAGAACATCTGCCGAAACAGCTTATTAATTCCTTCAATCCATAAGATTTTTTGGTTTGTTTATAGTTAAGCACAAATCTATCTGTGCTCTGCCCACCATGAGTGTCGAAACTTGGTTTCTAGCAGTGTAATTCTGCAGACATACCACTGTGCAATTTGTATGAATAGTGGTTTTTTAGTTAAATGTAATACCCTTACTATTTCATATCTTAAGCTATTATTTTTGGTTACAAAAGATTGTTCGAGAGGCATACGAAGCTGAATTATGAGAAAGTCTACTCTTATTGTTTGAGGATGAGGCTACATGAGACAATTGAACTGATGATCAAAAGTAATATTTAATGTTCACTGCACAGCCCTTATTGTCGACATTTAAATTACAATGTTTTTATCATCATGTGATTTTTTAGAACTTACTCACCCATGCTAGTGATATCGAAGCTTTTCATATAATACTGACATTGTGCTTTATATCAATTGCTTTTGTCTTCCAGCAGCCAGTCACTATAGGTCTTGTTTTCAAGCCATTTATCACTAAGATGGCACTTTTCTGGCATTTTTGAGTGAACTTAAAACATTTTGATGACAGCGCTCAAGAATTAACATAGAGACAACTAAACCATTCTTAAGCAGCAACTGCAACCTTTCCCATAGAACTCACACAAGAATATACAAGACTGTCCAGACTGTGAACTAATCCAACAGCACAATAGTATGCCTACTCAAGTTAGGCCATACATAATATATTTGTGGGGTCTTGGGCTTAAAAATATGGAAAACAACAAGTAAATTAACAAAAAAAGTACCCAACTAAAAAATTTCCATGACCCTATATTAAAATGCCAATTTTCCAGGATATTCTAGGGCTTTATTTTGTTAAAGAAGCTTTCCAGGACTTTCCAGGTTTTCAAGCACTCATACAATCCCTGTTATGAGTGATCTATAAAAAACATGTTAAGTGTTGTATTGTAACACTTAGATTTTGTTATACCATCTCAAAAGATCTAGTATTCTACTACTACATCTAAGTTACGTCATTAACTCAAAATAATGTTATATCACCTAAAAAAATCTAGTATGTTGTATTATTACAAATTAATTGTAATATTATATCATCTAGAGTGCTGCTGCTTTGGATTTCAGGTAAGTTAAAACTTGTAAGAAGGGCATAGATATGAAGTATTTGACAAAGAAAGCAAGATTATTAATAAATTTATTATGAATTTTGCGCAAAGCTACACAAGGGCTATCTGCACTACCCGTCTCTAATTTAGCAGTGTAAGACATGAGGGAAGGCAGTCAGTCATCACCACCCACCGCCAACTCTTGGGCTACTCTTTTACCAACAAATAGTGGGATTGACCATCACATTATAATGTCCCCACAACTAAAAGGGTGAGCATGTTTGGTGTGATGGGATTTGAACCCACGACCAACAGATTGCGAGTCGAGCTCCCTAACCACCTGGCCATGCCGGGCCTTATTAATAAGGGTATTTATATCTGAATTAGTGACAACCAAGTATGAAGAGACTTACAAGAAGAGTATGGATCTGAGAACAGTGGCGTGCAAGTAGCCTTGGCTCCTGACGACAAATCTGAAGAGCTTGGGCAGTCTGAAAACGAAATGCTCATAAGAAACTATTATTCAAATACTCACTTTAACAAAATGATATACACAGAATAATTATTACATATTCTAAAATGACAAATTTTGGTCTAATCCCTAAATGTTCAAAATGATCCAGCTTCAGACACAAGTCATTTTACAGATAAAATAACAGCAATTTCAAATTTATGAATAAACTGCACATTATATGTATATGATAGTTTACGAGTTACTGAATAAGCAAGAATAGAAAATATCTTGTAACTTTGCAAATAAAAAACTTATTTAAGTTAGAAATGGTATAATACTCTAAAAACTTTTAAATTTGATTGATCTGGAAAACATAGCAAACATAAACATTTTCAGAAATCTACTATAGAACTTCTAACTTCTTGAATTGAGACAGTTTTGTTCCCCATCACCAGTCGGCACATGGCAATGTGTTCTAGCAACAGCAGTTGGAAAGAATGAAGTATTGGATGGCTATCAACCACTGTAAGAAACATAAAATAAGATGTGTTTCATTTCTGACACTTGATTAATGTTCTAATTTACAAAACCAATTAAATAAAGAATGAAGTTTCTGATAGAGACAGCAATTAGTTCATTACAGAGCTTGCCAACTTAAAATATGCATGATCAAGACATAAAATCAAATTCTTAGGAAAACTGTATAGGACTGTGTACCACCTCTCAATAATTACCAACCTCTGTATAACAAAAATAAACAACTTTAATTCACTGATCTAACAAATTATACAAAAATCATCATTATCAAATTAATTATTGTAAGAAATATGTAAATTTACAATACTACCTGTCACATGGAAATCAAGAATGTTAAAACAGTGATAAACTGTGCTCAAACACTATTCAAAGTTTATGTTTATTTTGACAGCACACAATAAATCTCTGAAAATAACCATTCTAAGACCTCAACTGCATATATGTTAAAACTTAATCCTTTCCAATCCAGTCATTTTGGATCAATCTCAGAGAAAATGTGCAACATCAAATTTACAAAAAAATATTTGTGATGCATCCCTATACTTTTTCTCCAAAATAAAATTACAGTTGAAATCTTGAAAGCTTAAACGTTTTTTTGATTAAGTTTCATTAATATTTGTTTTGGACAAAATAATTAAAAAAATCCTGAACCCTAATTGTAGATTTTTAGTCTCCTTTTGGAATTTTTATTAAAGTCATGTCATAAATTAATTTGCCCATCTTCTTAGAAACAACTTTTCAAAATATGAAATGAAGCCAGAAATACATAAATTACTTTTAGTAAAAATAGTTTTAAAAAGAGGTGAAGTTTTAAGTCGGTAATGTCAAAAATTGTAAAATTCAAATATCTGTAAATTTTTTGTTATAACTCTCTTGATTTTTACAGAAACTTTGGATTATTTTATTTCTCTTGTCTGTAGAACTCCCTTTCTTTTTCACATGGAAATGAAATTTCCAAATCTTTCTGTTAGTATATCATGAGGCTTGTTATGTGCTGTATTCAAAATTATGTAAATTATTAATGGTTTTGTATTGTTTGCCTGCAACAGAAAGGTATGAAATTAACTTAATGGGTTTCTGTGTGTTTATACTGTTCAAGTAATTACTTTAGTAGGTCAACTTCTGCATACAAAAAGGCTCCTGTGGTAACTTGACTGATACCTATGCAGAAGGTAATTATTCGTAGTCCATGAAAACGGAAATAGCACGGCCCAAACACCTCATCGTGTACTCTACTCTCTAGCCTCTACTATTTCAAACATTTGTATAAGACAAAGATAAGTTTTATGTATAAGATAGAATAATATATATTCATATTAGTTTAATGTTTTAGAAGATATTTTATTGCATCATTTCATTTAACTAATTGATGTATTACTCTTAACTATATTGCTATACAATGAGGGCTATGCTAATTTTTTGCATATGTTTGTTAAGATAAAATAGATAAAAACAAATAACAGTGGTGTGCAAAGATATAAACTTAGCTAAATGTTGAATGAATACCTCTTTATTAAACAATTAATCCTTTTGTGTAATAAAGAAAGAGAACAATATGATTAATCCTGAGAAACAGAACCTGTATAATCTATAGGCTGATTATATAAGAAACACAGCTTATAAGTTAGCAATTACGGGCATACTGCATAAGAACATAGTATATTGTTATTATGTAGTGGTTTTTATTTTATTATAATTCATAAATTTACCAAAATATTCAAACTTATATTTTAAAATATCTCAGTTATTGTGATGTATGGTTGAAATATCTTTCTACTCAAATTTGGAAACTTTTATGACTTATTAATTTTTTACTACTGAAAGCGCAAAGGTGGTGTTATATACATCAATAGCAAAAAAGTTAAATATTAATCAAAATAAATTAATAAACTAGAAAACACGTTTATCATATAGGATATCAAGCATATTAATGGCAAATTATCTAAACAGATTATAAAGAACTGTGAAATAATCCAGGCAATCAATTAATATCAAACAGAAACAAAGTGCAACTTTAAAGAAAACTCAAATATAAAATAGAAACAATAATGGTAAATAAACAGTATTAATCCTTTCAAGATGGGTCACAGGTGAAAAGCCATGTCATCTCGTTTGTTGACTCCCATTCAAAATTTTACTGAACTACTATTTCATGAA